CCCAGACTTGTAATTCGAATATAAGCTAACGGAAGATAGCGATTTGTTTGGTGAGTTGTGAAATAGTTTGGTGTTTTGTTGAATCTCTGCTTTTTGTTTTGTTTTGTTTTGTGTAGGTGTTTGAAATTTAGAATTGGCGAGTGAAGGATAAGGAAAGTACGCCTAGAGCTCCCCTAATCGTCACTGCCTAAGTACCTGTATGTTCAGCTAATTTGGCGGTTTTCATGCGACCTCGTCCGCCGTCCGCCGTCCAATTGCCTTACCAATTCCCAGGTTTACTTGGAGTAAAGCCCCCTACGTAATTCTTTCAGAACCAGAGGAATAATCTTTTCGTAAGATTTTCCAATCTTCCTAATTCATCAACACATTGTCGTGCAAATGATAAACTGTTGACCATGGCATCTCTCTTCGGTTTGGCGCGCCGAAATTGGCTGATGTTCAATCCTCCCGAAGCATCCAAGTCCACTGCGCCGCTTCGATTCGGAATCCTGGGCGCTGCAGATATTGGGTGAGTTGAAGTTATTCATTGTCCGATTTTATCTCAGCAACCTTAGGTTCAAAGCCAGAGTAAATCAGCTAACCATGAATCCAGACCACCAGCTCTCATTCTCCCAGCAAAGACTCACCCAGATGTCGTGGTTCAGACTGTAGCTGCTCGCGATCCAAAGAAGGCGAAAGACTATGCAAAGAAGCACGGCATTCCCCAAGTAGCGCAGACGTATCAAGGTAATAAATTGACAATAGTCGTCAATTCTTACTAGCTTAGGTGCATACAGTTAGCTAACATATGCTCCCATCTCAAGAGATACTCGACAGCCCTGACATTGATTGTGTCTACATTCCTCTGCCGAATGGACTACACTACGAGTGGGCTCTTCGCGCCCTCAAAGCTGGCAAGCACGTGCTGTTAGAGAAGCCATCGGTGAACAACACAACAGAAGCCGAGTGCCTCTTCAACAATCCGCTTCTACAAGGTCCCAAGGCTCCCATTCTTCTCGAAGCGGCGCATTACATCTTCCATCCGGCCTGGACCGTGTTCATGTCCTATGTCACGCCTGCTGAAGTCGCCAGCGCCAAGGCCGTACTGTGGGTCCCGAAATGGATGTTTGCCGCCGATAATATTCGATTCCGCTATGATCTTGGCGGCGGCGCGCTCATGGACCTTGGCGCTTACGCGACGAGCGCTCTGGCCAGTATCTTCGGCACCATAGCAGAGGAATGCGAGGAGTGCATCACGCAGTCGGGGTCTTACGACGAAAGATGCGATCGTCTATTCAAAGCGCGATTTCGATTTCCGGGCGGTGGGCACGGTGAGATGGAAGGCGATCTAAAAGCGCCGCTCAATCGCCTATTGCCCGACATCCACGTGGTGCACAAGCCCATCGTGGTATCCAGCGCAGACGCCGGTATCGACATACCCGAAGGACAGGAGGTTGTGCGAATCCGCAAGGTCAAGTTCGCAGTATTTATTCAGCCATCCGCCTTCCATTCCATCCAGGTTGACGACGAGTTCGTGCTACGAAAGATTGGCGATACGTCCAAACCCGTCAAGGAATGGACGAACAATAAGACGATCAAGGCTTACACATTTCGCGAGACTGGCATCGATCAGCCGGGAGAAGCTTATTGGCCGACTTACCGATACCAGCTAGAGGCGTTCGTGAACAAGGTCCGCGGGCGCGAAGTGCGACAGTGGGTGGACGGGGCTGACTCGGTCAATACCATGAAGATGATCGATATGGCCTACACGGCCTCGAAGTTGCCATTGCGACCTACGAGCAAGTATGCAGTGATAGACGAGTAGCTTATGGCAAGCCTGGAAGAATGCCGGGAATTGCTTTACTCGTAGGGGCCTTGTGTGCTACATAAGGCATCGAGATGAGATACCCGTTTGCGATGATTCATAACCCCTGTTCACTTAGTACCAAATTGAGAACTCCTGTTTCTCGTTTCTCGTTTACTCCAGTGAAATTATTTTAGGTGCCCACCCTGCATGCGCTTATTCATCCAATTGTCACCAGTGTCAGCCATAATTAAACCGAAGATATTCTCGTCAGTTTCGTGGTGTCGAGTAATAACCGCAGCTTGACCAAAAATCTGATGCTATCGCCCAATTACGTCATAAAAGATAAAAGACCGTATAAGCACTAAAATATGTGCGCTGTAAATAGTAAGTAGGCACCTAGGTAATTATATTGCTACCCGAGAGAGCTGGAAATACCATCGCAATTTATAACTTCAGCTGGTGCCTGGGCGCTAACGTGTTTTGGGCATGATCTATGCTCTCAGCTGCGAACACCGTATAACACACATCGTCAAATCCCACGGACGGCATTCTCAGATCCTATTCTCCGTAAAGCAAGATTTAATAGAGTAGCCTTATTCCTTCTTCGTAAATTTTGTTGCAGAGCCTCCGCATACGTTTGTATCGAGAAGTCATGAAGTCGTCTACGAAGGACGATCGACATGATGTAGCGAAAGGACTGGGTAGGATAGAAAGCATCGCGAATATGTCATATCCGCCTCATCAGTGTGTATATAGATCACTGAAGTGTTTCCTCCTACAACAGAAAATAATCATCATCAAATCCCCCAGCTCTTAGAACACATCAACAAATATCTACCTATCCTCATTATACTTGCTTCCCACGAAGCTTCACCCCGCCATTATAACACTGTTTAGAGATACCATAAGATGCAACTCACCAATTTCCTCTCTAGCGTCCTCGCACTAGGGGCCTTAACACCGCTCGCCTCCGCCAGCTGCTACAGCGGTGGCGATAAATGGGGCGACGCAAAAGATCAAGTCCTGAAAGTGATAGAAAACGTGTGCCAAGCAGACCTCAACTCAAACGATATCCGGCGCCCGTACACGTGGGGGAACCACCCGGAGGCAAAAACGGGCAAGGCCAAGTTCAGCGTCGGGAACCGCTGTGTTACATTGCAAGTCGACTACATCTGGGACCCGCACACGGACGACATTTCGAAGATCATTTTCATGGACACCGGCCTCGAAAGCGGCACCATTCCCAGGGCCGAGTGCAAGGACGGCCTGAAGAAGGAGGTCAACGGCTGCGAGCACGGCGGCGAGTCCAGCTATACCCACTGGAAGTATAAGTGAGTTGATTCGACTATGACCCTTATTAGTCGTCGAAATGCCGCTAACATTATTCCAAAGGGCTGATATTCAAGCTAATTGTAACTGAGTATATTTGCTTGGCTGAGTTTGGGAGAGAAGTCGGCGTAAACAAACAAGACTTTGGCCTGCTATCTATGTTGCCATGATGGGGCGGTTGTATATACGCAATGGAGTTTTCTGGATACAACGAAAGCTATCTCTCGGTGCATTCTCGATATAACGCTCGTATTTCGTAACTTCCCTTGGAAATCATAATCTCTGTCGGGCCAGAAGTAGGAGCGCGCTGTCGTACCGAGCGACCCAGTCTCTACCAATGCCGGGGATCGCATGCTTTCTTCCAGCGAGACGGTCGCGAAGTTGGAGTTCCGTGAAGATACGCGCTCGCAGATTCTTCGAGTTTCGCGAGTTTTCTTCCAGATCTTGGGCACCTGCGAGGAAGCTATGGACAATATCGATGTGGATGCGAGTCAACTCGGCGTTACTCATGCCCAAGTCTTATGATGATGGCGGGCCTTTTAGGAGTCCAGTGGCCGAATCCACAAGGGACTGGGGGTCTATCAGAGTTTCAGGGGCTTCATAGCTAGAAAAAAGGAGACTCGTGTATACGGACCCCGGGACCTGCCCGTAGCCGCTAGCTCATAGATAGGGTCCTCCGTGCTACAATATAGTTCCTTCTCGTGCTTCCCAGGTCTGCATAGTGACAGAGCCGAGCGATTTTCGGTTGCGGTTGATGGACCGAGGTGGTGCCATCGTATCGAAGTCGCTATGCTCCTCGTAAGGGGCAACATAGCTAGACAAATTCTTGATAGCCTTTTGGTGCTTGTTTCTTCTTCTAGGCAAATTTGGACTATCTAGCGTAGCGAATTAGTTTGTTAGTTAGAGTTCGTGTTGTGTATGATAGTTGTGTACGAGGACAATGGGGTATCACGATAACTTGCACCTGCTATCACTACTACTACTACTACTACCATCTTAAGGAACTTGTTAAGTATTGTGCTAGCGATATTCAAGGTTGACAAGTCGATACTGGCATAGGCTCGCTAACATAGGGGAAGTAGGATATCATAAAGAGGCGGAAGATACGGCACAAAACTTGAGTAAACCGCTGCTGACCAACAAAAAATCGATACGTACCTCTACTTCCTGGCATCCTTACAGTGCGATACAAGATGCACCCGCCGCTAGCGCATTTACAGGGGATATGGATCAGTACATCACATGCAGCCCACACGTAGCTAGACGAAAAAAACACGTCAAAGCGCCTGGCGATGTACTCTCTAGGCGAAACTAAGGCGGAATGTACAAGGCCCTGTTTGTTCTTGGTTTCAAGGCTTAGTACAAGAGTGCTTATTCATGTTCAACCCTGGTTAGCGCCGGGTAGCAGGCTGTATCATGCCAGGAAGCCATATGTATCTTGATTAATGTTGACGATACAACGAGGCCAGCTCCCAGTAACGAGTGTATGGTGCCTTGGAGTATTGGTTCCCTTGGAATAAGGAAAAGGGGCAATATTGGGGGTTTGAATCTCTTAGGCACCCGCTGCATTTGTTCGAGCTTTCTCTTCTTTTTTCTCTTTCTATAACCAATGTATCATGCCATAATAACGCACTTGCCTGTTCTGCAAACATGATGATCGCCTAAAAGTCGAGGTGGTACTCGATTTGCCTGATGTAGGTACATATGATGCTATGGAGAACTGGTTTGACTCACTGGAGAGGAGGTGCTCCATCCGCCTAATGTACGTGCTCTTTCTGATTGGGTCTTCCTCCTAAGCACAGCGCCCCCCAGACAGGTTTTAAAACACATATACTTAGATTAATGACATGCTATCATACAGCAGCACAGCTCATTCACGCATAAGGGTGTCTTGGTGTAGCGGTCTAACACACTCCCTCCGTTGGTAAGTGGTTGGGAGAGATCGGAGGTTCGAATCCTCCATGCGCCTCTTTTTACTACGACTTTACCATGATGCTTTTTACGGCTTTATCTGGACGCTTTTTCATGGAATTCAACCATGAATCCAAATAGACATATGTAATTCACGCAACTCTACTTTTAGTAGAGCAAATTACAAGTTGCAGTTGATGGAGTCTTTGAAGTAGTGGTTTAACTTGCCCACTTTGAGAAAACTCGTTTAGAAAATTACGTGCTTTCAGGCTAAACACCGACCCTGACGTCTGCTTCTTTATTAAATTCTAGATTTCACTTCAATACAATTTCACTTCAATACCTGTCCTGCTTAGACTAATACAGAGCTTTAGTATGTGAATACCTAGTTTACCACCGTGGATATATAACTAATTGATTGTGTAAGAAAAGTATAGAGTTGTTAGAATTCTAATAATCTTGGAAACTCCAGCTTTTAGACAAGACACCATGAAAAGCATGTATACACTTCAGGACAATTTAAATTAAGCGGACTTGACTGGAATATGTTGTTTCATTTTTAGTCCCTCGAGGTCGTAGCACCAGACGGACGTGGCTTCGAAAGCCAATTGGCAGTTCCTTAACGAATTAATGATAACTTGTGTTGGAACTAAAACACAAATTTTGGAAAGACATACCTGGGTGATTATTTGTTGTGACTTTGTGAATATACTCAAATTTAGGGAGAGTGGCTGTCTTGCAAGAGAATTAGGGGGGAAGTCGGCAAAGAGGTCGGCAGGTGGCAAATAGGTGATGGAGGTGAGTGACAGCCGACAGATGCTACCTCGGGATTGTATAAAAGTTTTCACATGTTCTCGGGGTATTTGGTGGTAAATCGTGCTAATTCTTTCAGCGCCGCACGGTCCCGTGTACCTCTCGCTCATTGGTTGGAACTTTTCATCTCGGATTGAACATTTCTCCGACATGGGGAAGGTGCCGACGTGACGCCCGGTAGGTACAGGTACCCGACTCTTGCGAAGGAAGACGTTAGCTTGGACCTTATCGCACCTAAATCTCTCTCCCTTCTTTACGCAACTTTATTCGCCTGACGGTTTCCGCTACACTCACTGCCCTACGAGTATCTAGTCAGTGCGGAAAACATTGCAACAATCTCATCAATTCACTAGTATACACTAGGCCGGGACCGCCGCCAGTCCAGGAACTCTCCATCATCTCCCGACGCGCCGCAACGATCCAACCAACCTTCATAGCACGAGACTGGATCGCCAGTCTTCGCTACAACGTTCCCCAATACAAATTACAATTTGTGTCCGAATCCTACACTTAGGAACCCTTGGAAGACTCAGCTGAGGAGCAAGCTTAGATCTAAACCACCGCCGCCCTGGGTTTCGCATCACTAGATCCATCCGTAACCTCTTCCGAAAGCCACGCCGATACCCCCACAGAAGGCTAATACTGTTGCGACCTGCTTGACGAAAAGCCAGGACGTTCGCGCCACATATATTCACTCCGAGACAATGAGTCCCCCCCGCCCCGCCGTCCCGAAACCGGGACCGGCGAACCTAACTCCCGGAGCGGGATTAGATGAATGGCTCGAGCAAGCCAAGCAGTGCCGATACCTGCCGGAACCAGTGATGAAGGAACTCTGTGAGATGGTTAAGGAAGTTCTCATGGAAGGTATGTTTAATATCTATAATATCTATAATATCTACAGGAAGTCCACCTAACTTTTTTTCCCCTGTAGAATCCAACATCCAGCCGGTGGTTACTCCAGTCACCATCTGTGGCGACATTCACGGCCAATTCTACGATCTCCTCGAGCTTTTCCGTGTCAGCGGCGGTATGCCGGGCCAGCCTGCCACCGAACCCCCCGCAACCTCGACTTCCGTGATAACATCCGCCGACATTGAGCCGCCGACCGAGATTACCAATCCCAAACTTAAGAAGAAGATAAAGAAGTCCAAGACTGCTTCTGGGGATGTCCCGGGTCTGCCCAGTGAGGAGTCACTCAATGTGGAAGAGGAGGAGGAGGAAGGCAACGAGTCAACAGGTCTTTCTCAGCGGAATTCTTCGGATAGTTCTGCGCCTGTCAACAACGCCGATACTCGATTCGTATTCTTGGGAGATTTTGTCGACCGAGGCTATTTCAGTCTGGAGACATTCACATTGCTCATGTGTCTGAAGGCCAAGTAAGAAGGAATTGCCTCATTTATACTATCAGTTCCTTTATTGACATACCATATAGGTATCCCGATCGAATTGTCCTTGTCCGTGGAAACCACGAATCCCGGCAGATTACCCAGGTGTACGGCTTCTACGAGGAGTGCCAGCAGAAGTACGGAAATGCGTCTGTGTGGAAGTCCTGTTGCCAAGTCTTCGACTTCTTAGTACTGGCTGCTATTGTGGATGGCGAGATACTTTGCGTTCACGGAGGCCTTAGCCCCGAGATCCGTACCATTGATCAGATCCGCGTCGTGGCCCGAGCGCAGGAAATTCCTCATGAGGGAGCTTTCTGTGACTTGGTCTGGAGCGATCCTGAAGAAGTTGAGACCTGGGCTATTAGCCCGCGCGGCGCCGGATGGCTCTTCGGTGACAAGGTGGCAACAGAATTTAATCATGTCAATGGACTAAAATTGATTGCCCGTGCTCACCAGCTGGTCAACGAGGGCTACAAGGTAAGGCATTCCTTCTACAACGACGCCCCTTTCTACCTACTTACCTAATGTATAGTACCACTTCCCGCAAAACTCTGTTGTCACGGTCTGGTCAGCACCGAACTACTGCTATCGCTGTGGTAACGTGGCTTCTATCATGTCTGTGGATAAGAACCTGGACCCCAAGTTCAGCATCTTCTCAGCTGTCCCCGACGATATGAGACACGTGCCTGCAGGACGACGTGGACCTTCTGACTACTTCTTATGATGCATTACAACCTAAAATACAACAGCATCCGTGCCTCAAATATTTTTTGAAAGGCTCTTGATACCATCACTGAAAGGCGTTTTATGGAAATGGTTTTTTTCTTTCTCTTTTTGCCCGTGTATGTCGGGTTTGCAATGCATGATGGAATGATTAGGGCACAAACGAGATCGGTTATAGACAACAAGGTCAATGGCACGTGAAAGGAAGCCATGAGGGGAGGCTAGTTCGGCCAGGCTATGGAAGATGGTTTATGTGTATCTGTATAGTAGAAACTTGGAGGCCTTGCTGAAGCCTGACGAAATAAGGTGTAGGGGATATGGATAGCATGGCCTCCCGAGTTTTTGAGACAATGTACGAATTTTACTTGATGAAGAGTCTTTTTGCATGTTTTATTCGAATCTAGCGTGTGCTTTCTTTTCAGGTATTTGAGCCAAAATATGCCATCAAACTGCTCAAAATAGTGCTTCTACCCCTATTTTCAAATTGTGACAATTATGGAGGGGTTACCCCAAGGCCTCCAAATCCGAACCCCACCAATTCAATCTACGCGCGAGGCGCGTCCGTAATAACGATCGATCCTCCACCCTTTTTAGGCCAAAAAGCTTAACGGCGCCATAAGCTTTGCAACGTCTACACTACGCCATAACCTGTCTCAGATAAGGAAAAAGATAAAATAAGAATAACACGCAGTATGGCATCGAACCAGCAGCTGCAGCGCTCGGCGTCGTCGATGGGCAACCGGGAGAAGACGTACTTTGAGCAGCAGCGGGAGGCGCTGATCGGCGAGATAGCTATGGTATGCCCCCTCCATACCAAATCCATTCTCTAGAAAACCAAGAAAAAAATCTGGCGAGAAGAATAAGAGAAGGCTAACACGAGACAATTGGAAACCGCGCAGAGCTTCGAGCACGTCCTCGCCAACATCAACAAGCTGAACCGGTCGCTCGAGGCCGTGACCGCCGTCGGCAACGAGTTCTCCTCCGTCGAGGCGCTGTGGTCGCAGTTCGAGAACGTCATGGCCAAGGAGCCCGAGGACGCTAAGGGCTCCGACGGCGAGGGCCAGCAGCCGCCGAACGAGGCCGAAGGCGCTCAGACGCCGGCCGCGGGGAGGAGTTGAGGAGGTGTTGGCTAGCTCCGTGGGACTATGCGGGGGGGGGGGGAAATGAAATATTATAGGGAGTATGGAGGAAGGGAATGGCAAAGATGACGACGATGGAGCATGACGATACCCGCCACGGCTCGGCGAAGCTACGGCACAAATATTTACACATTTTACACATTCTGCACGAGTTAAGATGCACTAGATCATAAGACACGAGGAGGCAAAAATGGCATTATGATGAATTTCTTTTATTTCCTATCCGGCCGGCCACGATCAATGGACAAAGTGGCGGCCGAGAAAGCAGCTCGTACAACACACAAACGGAAAAGAGATCCTTCAGTATAACATGGGACGTGGATGAATTGATACACTTGTTTCCAGGTTTCCCTTCCTATCCTTTCTCGTTTCCTCGTTCTCGTCCTCTCCTCGTCCTCTCCTCTCTGCTCGACGACGCACACACACACACAAAAACTGGCAAAACGGGGTCTCGCTCCGTCGGATATGCGCAGCTAGCTATATGTAGTAGCTATGTCGATATAGCCAGCCGAAGCCCAAGCAAAAGCCAAGCCGAGACACCTTTGCCCTCCCTGAAAACCCCCCTAAGTCATTAAGTAGACCCTATAACGAAGAAGAGACAAAAAAAGGGGAGGCAAGCAAACTCGCGGGAACGCCAAATCGAAAGAATCTTGGAAGAAAAAATAAACATGCTGCTGCAAGAATTTGTCTTTCAAGAAGAGACAAAACGAGGCGATCCTTACCATTTTTCCTTTCCCAATCGGAGGTCGTAAAATAAAGAAAAAGTCGTCGTGGGAGGAAAAAAAGCGTATGTGGTCATGCAAGTGTGTATGCGTGTGTGGTCATTACTAGTGATGTTTCCTTCGTCGTCGTTCCATATATCAAATCACCTATCAGGCAATAGCAAGTGTAGGTAGGTAAGCAGTAATAGTTGGTAGGTAGGTAGGTGGTAGTTGTAGTGGCTGATGATGATGAGGATGACGATGATGCAAGAATTGGTTGCTACCTCGTCGCCCTTC